TTTAGTTCAATACTAGCGGCCAATACAAAGGTAATAACTGCTACCGCAATACCAGTACGTGTTTCGCTCTTATCCGACACGTATTGATGGTCGCGTCCCAGTAGTAATAGGTCGACAATTTGACGGCCATTCCAGACAACAACCGTATAATTAAAATAGGTTTGTATAGTACCGCCTATTCCGGCACAGGTATGCAATATTTGTAGTAATTGTGATTTTGTCGACTGAAACTCTAGTAAATCAAATTGAAATAAACTAGTTAATATATCATTGTAATGTATATAGTATGTAATAAAACCCATGACCAGTAGATTTGTTAAAAATTTTTTCATTATTTTCAAGTTTATTATTAATTTATTGTTTGTATTATTATTATTATTATTATTAATATGATATCCCAAATAAAAGTTGCAAGTATAGTTGATGTATTTAAGCAATATATTTAGGCCATTATTTTTTTTATTCATTTTTTCTAAATATTGATTTTTTTGTATGATTTAAACTTACAGTACATTACATACAAATAGTTTTTAAAAAAATATAAAATAAAATAATGATTTATTTTATTATTTTATTTAAATAATTTGTATGTAAAGTACATGTAAATACAGAAATATTAATTTATTTTTTATTTCATAAATATTTATATACAAAATACTGATTAAAAAATATTGTTTATTTTGTACGGAGTTTACATACAAATATTTTATATAAATAATAATAATAATAATATTGATTTTCTACATATTATTTAAATAATTAAAATTACAGTATATTGTAATAATATATTATTATTATTATTATTATTAATAATAAAATAATAATAATAAATGTTTTTATAATATAAATATTTATTTACAAATATATTGATTTTAGTGATATTTAATTTATATACTTGATATATTAAAATATACAACAAAATAATTGTTAATTTATTTAAGCAATATATAATATTTATACTATTATTTTTTCAGACATTATTATTATATGTTATGTTTTTTTTGTATATGATTTAGACATATATTAAATGCATTTAATAGTAAAATATTATAAATTAATAAATATTAAATATAACGGTATTATAATATTATCAATTTATATAATGTGTTATAGGAGTACAGGTACTGTATAAAGAAAAACAATTTATATATATTTATTTATAAAATAACGAATAAAAATATTGTTTACATCAAAATATAAGTATATGATATTAAAATAAGTAATAATTATTATATCGATTAATGCAAATTATTTAAATAATTAAAATTATATTTTAATAACATTTAGATTATAGTATTGTGTTAATAATCAACAATAACTTTTTTTAGTATTTTATAATGTTTAGTAATTTTAATAAATTAAAAAAAATATATACAAATATTATTAATTATAAATATATATAAATTAACTAAATTAATTTAATTATTTAAATTTACCTCTTTTTATGATTATTTGTTTATTTATTTATTATTAGTTATAATTTTTAAAGTAATTTAATGAAAAAAATTAATTTATAAATTAGTCAAACATTAGTTTGTATGAGTATTACACTATAGGATAGTATTAGCGATAAACATGTTATTAGTGTTTGTTTATTGATTGCATACAAACTGTAAGCCGTAAAACACATATTACTGGACATTGATTTTAATGACAATATAATATTTAGATTTAAATTGTTAACATTACCATTATTATTATTATTATTACTAGTAGTATCTAGCTGAAATTTATTTTCTACACTAGCAATAAGTATTTGATAAGCATGCGGTATAATATTGCACGCATAAATCAAATAGCCAAACTGTACTAGATCATCTAATAGACTAGCTATACTGATTGGTCGATTATGAGTGTTACCAAAATACAATTCATTTAAATCGGTAATTAATCTGATTGTCAATATTATTACAATCAGAAAATTATTAAACGATAACAATTTATCCAAACAGTTGACATAGATTTTCAGTGAAACACAATATTGATAAATGAATTGTAGGGTAAAATTGTTTAAATTTTCGCACAAATATTTCAATTGTTGGCCTATTATATAGGATTTGTAGGCTATAAATGCTGTAAATATCAACGACATATTGATGGCTATCAAATATAATGGTAATGTTAGCAAATAGTATTTTGATATATGATTAATACCAAACATATTAATTGCTATTATATAGTTTAGTTCAATAATAGCGGTCAATACAAAGGTAATAACGGCTACAGCAATACCAGTACGTGTTTCGCGCTTATCGGATACGTATTGATGATCGCGACCCAGTAGTAACAGGTCGACAATAGGGCGGCCATTGAATACTTGGATAGTATAGGTAAAATAGATTTGAATTATACCACCCACTGCTGCACAGGTATGCAATATCTGTAGTAATTGTGATTTACTAGTTGTTGTTGAACTACTAAACTGTAATAAATCAAATTGAAATAAACTGATTGACAAATCATTATAATAAATATATGTAATAAAACCCATGACCAGTAGATTTGCTAAAAATTTTATAATGATTTTACAATTTATTATTAATTTATTGTCAGTATTATTATTAATATGAAATCCCAAATAAAATGTGCCAGTATAGTTGATGTATTTAAGCAATATTTTTAGCCCATTATTATTATTTTGATACATTTTGTTGTATGTTGTTTAATTTTTTCACAAATGATATAAACTTTCAGCATTAAATATAAAAACTAAAATATACTAAACATAATTTTCATCAGAAATTTTTATATTGTAAGTAAATAATTATTTATTTCATTAAAAATAGTGTTTACTTTTAGTGACATTTACATTGTATACATACGTATACTATTATTAAATTATTTTATACACATATTTATATATATACTATGTATTGTATTTACATAAAAATGTACTTTTATATATATATATATATATATATATATATATATATACAGTATATATATTTATAAATATAAATCTATTTAGAAATTATTGATCAAAATAAAATAAACTCAAAGACAAATCAGTGTAAAGGAAACCCTTCATAAAACCCATGACCAGTAGATTTGTTAAAAATTTTATAATGATTTTCCAATTTATATTAAATTTATTGATAGTATAATTATTGAATATCCAATATTAACCAATAAGATTGTAATTAGCGTTAGTGTTATAATAATAATATTTATTAATATGATATCTTAAATAAATACTGCCACTATAATTGATGTATCATATTTAATCAATATAATTAAGAATTAATTATAGTTTTATACTTTTTTTTAATTGATTTTTACTTAAAAAAATAAGTTTAACTCACCTTACATTCACTACTAAAAAATATATAATAAAAAATATAAATCAATATTATTATTTAATCATTTAGTTTATATACTAAAAAAGTACAACTTTTAGATTAAAAATTAAAACAAATGTATTTTTTGTCATAAATATTTATTAACAATTGTTTATTGACTGAAAAATATTTATCTATTTAGTACTATTTTTACATGAAAATATTATTAAAATTAATAATATTGATTTATATATATTTTATTAAAATAATAATAATAATATAGCAGTAAAACAACTAAATAAACAAATTCAACATTTTAAGTATATTAATAATATTTTTTTATTTTAATAATTTATACACTTAATTCAAGTTGCAAATAATAAATTAAATATATATATATATTAATATAAAATAAAGTCAATTTATAGATATTATTTTAGCAAAGATTTTATTGATTTAATTATAAAATTATTCATAAATAAATAAACAATATTTTATTATTTAGTTTACAATTACTATTGGCAACAAATCCTACAATCATATATGCAGTACTTAATACTGTATTTATAAATGGCATTAAAAAATAATTTTATTATTTTTTATATTTATATAATTTTTATGATATATATATTAAAGCAGAGACTCTTAAACAACGGCGATGCTATTAATTTCAATTATCTGGTCCACAATACGTTTGATTTACAAGTGACCATGGGCAATTTTGTAGATAATTTAAAACTAAATAAGATTGTAATTGGTCATTTTTTAATTAATTCAATGATTGGGCAGATAATTGCAGTCGTCTATCATTTTTTTAACAGTCCACTGTATATTATAATGATTTTATATTATATATATATATATATATATATGGCCAATCATAGAATTAATTAAAAACTGACCAATTACAATTTTATTTAGTTTGAAATTATCTGTTATAGTTATAACTTATAAATATAGCATAAAGTTTCAAACTGAATAACATGTTTACGTATAAGTTATAACTTATAAGTAAACATTTTATGGAAAAAATATTAATAATTTTTAAAAATACAGTCTCTTCGTAATAATAGCATAATTAATGACAATATATATACAGTATATTAGAAAAATAATAATAAATAATATTTATTGTTTTAAAATTATAATAATAAAAAAAAAATCTATAAGATTCACATTGATATTTTTTATCATTTATTTTTTTATTATAAAATTATAAAAACTATAAACTACATAAAATACAATAAATTCAAGTTGCATTAATATAAATAAATCATTAATAATTTTATCATTTTATCATTATTTAATTTAAAAAATTTGTGAATAGTTAGTTTTATTGTTAAAAAATATAACATAATTAATGACATTTTATCATGATTAAGACAAATATATTATAAAAATTATTGTTTTATTATTATAATTATTCTAATATATTTGTTTTAATAATAAAAAAACCTCATTAAAAATTTTATAAAAACTTACTATTATGAACTAATATTAAGTTTATTATATTTGTTTATTTATATTATATTATTAGTTTACATCAGATCTCATTATTAATGCAAATATAATTTGTAAATTTTTGATAATTTGAATATTCTAGTGTTAATAATATTAAAAAATTATTAAAATTATTTATTAATATAAATCAGATACATTATATACTATATATTAATATTATAAATGTTTAATTTTAATAATAAACATAAGTTATCACAAAAGATGATCATTAAAGATGCGGACAGACATCTCTATCGCATTGGACTACAATTGGATAGACAGTCTCCGACATATAAGCGCAATGCTATACATAATCCATGGCTTATATGGTTAATCGTAATATATTTCACTATCAAGTCTATAGTATTACTAATTGGAAACGATTTTAGTAATGAATTTTATCTAAACATCGGTGATATTGGTTTTATAATGAAATGTGTTAAACAATTTAATATTATGATTTTTTCATCATGCATTGCAGTTAATTTGTTCATGCTACTTAATTTCTATAATTATAACCAAGGTATACATTGTACACACAGTCGTATATTTGAAATGTTATCGGGCACAGTTAGCCCGAAACAGGTTGGTATAAACAATACTACTGTCCTGGTTAAATTTGTCAATATATCACGTAAATTGTTATATATAACTAAACATTTACCAAAACTATTAGCTTTTAATATATTTTTTACTTATTATTCATTGATATTAACTCAAAATATTAGCTTAACTAAACTATTGACAGTAGCATTTCCACATTCAATAATGTGGATGCTTTTTGAATATTATGGTGAAAATATTATATTATATCAATTTACTTATTATTTTATTGTAACAAGATTTGTCAAAATAAAATTAGTTTTAATAAATAATAAAATTAAACATTTATTGAATAATGTATCAAAAAATGATAAAAAAGAATTAAATATTAGTGTCACTAAATTATTGCATAAATTAAATAACATATATTTGGAAATCAATGAATACAATGATAGCTATTGGAGTCGATATCTATTTATTATGTGGTCGTGTTTGGGAACAATTATTGCTGTTTTGGCATTTATTATACTATATAGTGATATACCATTTGATTCACAATCAATATTTGTTTCATATTTAATAATTTATGTGTTTATGCTATGGTTTATCATTTATATTACATCAATTGTCTATTTTGAAGCAAATACATCATATTATTTAATAAATTCATTGATAGCAAAAAATAAATTGTTAACAATTTATACAAAATCTAAAGTTTGCATAATATTTAAATTTAATTAATTTTTTTATATCTTTCTTAACTAATTTTATTATTTAATATTTTTACTTTAAAGTTATTATCAACTACTGAAAGGATAGCACAAAGTAATGTCGGATTTTATTGTAGGAAATTGTTTATTATAAACTCATTTCGTGGTATTGAAGTAAGTAATTGATTATCAAATATAATGATTAAAAAATATTTATAAAATAATTTATTTTTGCAGTTGATTTTATATGTTGCAATCATATTTTTCAAAATGGTAGAAATTTAATTAAAATTTATATTTATTTAAATATTTCTAAATATAATTATATTTTATATAAATATTATTTATTGTATATCTTAATTGTTATTTAGTATTATTTATTATGGTATAACTTGTAAATTTAATTTATTAGCTTATTTATTATTATATTGTAATAAAATTTATCAACATTAAATTAATTATAATTAATAAAAAAATCAACATTTAATAACTAAAGTCCATAGAAATCTAGAAATCATTTACGATTACTATTGGCAACAAATCTTACAGTTATTTATGCAGTACTTAATAGTGTATTTATAAGTGGCATTAAAAATAATTTTATTATTTTTGATATTTATATGATTTTTAGGATATATATTAGTTTAAAGCGTAGAGTCTTAATTTTAAATATACAGTCTTTTTGTAATAATAACATAATTAATGACAATTTATTCATTATATTAGAAAAATAATAATAAATAATATTTGTTTTAAAATTATACTATTAAAAAAAATCTATAAGATTCACAATGATATTTATCTATCAATTATTATTTATTATAAAATAAATTATAAAAATTATTAACAACATAATATACAATAGATTCAAATAATTCAAGTCGTATTAATACTGTATAAATAAATCACTATTGATTTATAAATTTATCATTATTTAATTTTAAAAATTTATGAATAGTTATTTTTTTGTTAAAAAATATAACATAATTAATGACATTTTATCATGATTAAGACAAATACATTATAAAAATTATTGTTTTGTTATTATAATTATCATAATATAAAGTTTATTTATCTTAATAATGAAAAAACTTCATTAAAAATTTTATAAAATCCTACTGTTATGAACCAATATTAAGTTTATAATATTTGTTAATTTATATTATATTATTGGTTTACATCAGATCTAATTATTAATGATAATATTATTTGTAAATTTATGATAATTTGAATATTCTAGTGTTAATAGTATTAAAACATTAATAAAATTATTTATTAATATATATCATATACATTATATACAACATACTAATATTATAAATGTTTAATTTTAATAATAATCATAAGTTACCACAAAAGCTGGTTATTAAAGATGCTGACCGTCATCTCTATCGCATTGGACTACAATTGGATAGACAGTCGCCGACATATAAGCGCAATGCTATACATAATCCATGGCTTATATGGTTAATCATAATCTATTTCACTATCAAGTCTATAGTATTACTAATTGGAAACGATTTTAGTGATGAATTTTATCTAAATATCGGTGATATGGGTTTTATAATGAAATGTGTTAAACAATTTAATATTATGGTTTTGGTCTCATGCATTGCAGTTAATTTGTTCATGCTACTTAATTTCTATAACTATAAACAAGGTATACATTGTACACACAATCGTATATTTGAAATGTTATCGGGCACAGTTAGTCCAAAACAGGTAGGTATCAACAATACAGCTGTCCTGGTTAAGTTTGTCAATATATCACGTAAATTGTTATATTTGAGTAAACATTTACCAAAACTATTAGCTTTTAATACATTTTTTACATATTATTCGTTAATATTTACACAAAATATTAGCTTAATTGAACTATTGACAGTAGCATTGCCACATTCAATATTGTGGTTGCTTATGGAATATTATAGTGAAAATATTATGTTATATCAATTAACTTATTATTTTATTATAACAAGATTTGTCAAAATTAAGTTAGTTTTAATAAATAATAAAATTAGATATTTGTTGAATAATGTATCAAAAAATAATAAAAACGAATTAAATATTAGTGTCACTAAATTATTGCATAAATTAAATAATATTTATTTGGAAATCAATGAATATAACGATAGCTATTGGAGTCAATATATTTTTATTTTGTGGTCGTGTTTGGGGACAGTCGTCGCTGTGTTTGTCTTTATAGTACTATACAGTGATATACCATATGATTCACAATCAATATTTGTTTCCTATTTAATAATTTATGTGTTTATATTATGGTTTATCGTTTATATTACATCGATTGTCTATTACGAAGCAAATAAATCATATTATTTAATAAATTCATTGATAGCCAAAAATAAATTGTTAACAATTTATACAAAATCTAAAGTTTGTATAATATTTAAATTTAATTAAATTTTTTTTGTAGGTTTCTTAATTAATTTTATTATTTAATATTTTTACTTTAAAGTTATTATCTATTAATGAAAGGATAGCTCAAAGTAATGTTGGATTTTATTGTTGGAAATTGTTTATTATAAACTCATTTCGCGGTTTTGAAGTAAGTAATTGGTTATCAAATATAATGATTAAAATATTTTTTATTTTTGTAGTTGATTTTATATGTTGCAATCATATTTTTCAAAATGGTAGAAATTTAATTAATATTTTTAAGTATTTAGATATTTATAAATATAATTATTTTTTATATAAATAATGAAAATTAAATAAATTATTGTATATCTTAAGTGTTATTTACTATTATTTATTATGATAATATTAGTACATTTAATCTATTAGTTTATTATTATTATATTATAACAAGATTATTCAACAATTATAGAAAAGCAATTATAATATAAAAACTTAATGTAAAATTAATGTATTTTTTGAAATCTTTATTTTTAAAGTTTAAAAATAATGAATAGTTATAAATATTATTATATAAAGTAAGTTATAGAAAACACAATAATTCATAAATTTAAAAAAATATAAAAACTTATAAATATCCAGTTTCTTAATAATAATCACATAATTAATGGTGTTTTTCATGATTAAATAAAATATATTATATTTTTAAAATAATAATAAATAATATTTATTATTGTAAACTTATAAAAATTATTAAAAACACAATATAGTGTACAATAGATTCAAATAATTCAAATTGTCTTAATATAATTATAGCTCATTATTTATAGCTATATAATGAGTTTTTAAAAATATATCACAATTATGACTTTTTTCATGATTAAAACAAATATATTATAAAAATTATATTAACAAAACAATAATTTTTATAAAAAGTTCAAGACAATTAAACAATTTTATACTAATATTAAATTCATTATAAAACTTTATTTATATATTATTTAGTTTACATTTGAATTTATTATTAGGCAAATAATATTTGTTAATTTTTGATAATTTAAATAATATAGAAAATATTAATAAAATTAAAGATATATATATATATAGATATATATATCATATAGAGTATATACTTTATACAAAAATTATAAATGATTAATTTCAATAATTATTAAATTCTAGTATTATTATTAAATTAATACATAAATTATAAATATGGAAATCAATGAATACAATGATAGCTATTGGAGTCGATATCTATTGATAATTCGTTTTATTTTCTAAAAAGTTTTCTATGTTTTCTGTTTAATGAGAATTCCCAGGGAATCTATTTTTTTGTGATACAACCTATTGAACTATAGAAAACAAATGTTAAATTAAATTGTATTTTTATGGTAATAGTTAAATAATATATAAAATTTTAGAAAAAAATAATTTTTGGGTATACTTTATTGTAGAAATATAAAATAATTTTTTTTTCTAACGGAAATATAGATTTTGAAATAGTTTTTTATACAATTAGTTTGTAAATTATTTTAATGCTATAAAAAATAAATAAATATAAAATTTTATAGATTATTCAACAATAATTGTTATAGAAAAGCAATTATAGTATAAAAACTTTTTCTCAAATTAATGTATTCTTTGAAATCTTTAATTTTAAAATATAAAAATAATGAATAGTTATAAATATTATTATAGAAAAGT